CTTAGACCACTCGGCCAAACTGTCGATGAGTGCTTCACGATTCATAGCCGAGGTGATGCATCGCTCTGCCAAACCAGAGGACACAAAAATGGGTGAACGGTTTCTGCGAGGTGCGATGGCGCAATATCGATCAGAAGGTTTTGATCTTGCACTACCTCGCTTCTGAAAAGGTCTGGGTTCTCAATATAACACCAGTCAGGTATATAGACTGACAGCTGTGAGGTTCGAACCCACGCCCTTTCGGACTGGCGCCTTAAGCCAGCGCCTTGGACCACTCGGCCAACCTGTCGATAAGTGCTTTAAAAATCATAGCGGAGAAGATGCGTTACACTATAGGACATGACACAAAAACGGTTTCGAACCGTTTCCGCGGAATGCGTTCTTCACCAAATCACACGAAAAGAAATTTCTAACAGCTGTGGGATTCGAACCCACGCCCTTGCGGACTGACGCCTGAAGCCAGCGCCTTAGACCACTCGGCCAAACTGTCGATGAGTGCTTCAAGATTCATAGCCGAGGTGATGCATCGCTCTGCCAAACCAGAGGACACAAAAATGGGTTGAACGGTTTCTGCGAGGTGCGATGGCGCCATATCGATCAGAAGGTTTTGATCTTGCACTACCTCGCTTCTGAAAAGGTCTGGGTTCTCAATATAAGACCAGTCAGGTATATTGACTGACAGCTGTGGGATTCGAACCCACGCCCTTTCGGACTGGCGCCTTAAGCCAGAGCCTTAGATCACTCGGCCAAACTGTCGATGAGTGCTTCAGGATTCATAGCCGAGGTGATGCGTTACACTATAGGACATGACACAAAAACGGTTCCGAACCGTTTCCGCGGAATGCGTTCTTCATCAAATCACACGAAAAGAAATTTCTAACAGCTGTGGGATTCGAACCCACGCCCTTGCGGACTGACGCCTGAAGCCAGCGCCTAAGACCACTCGGCCAAACTGTCGATGAGTGCTTCAAGATTCATAGCCGAGGTGATGCATCGCTCTGCCAAACCAGAGGACACAAAAAATGGATTGAACGGATTCTGCGAGTTGCGATGGCGCAATATCGATCAGAAGGTTTTGGTCTTGCACTACCTCGCTTCTGAAAAGGTCTCGGATTTTAATACCACACCAGTCAGGTATATAGACTGACAGCTGTGGGGTTCGAACCCACGCCCTTTCGGACTGGCGCCTTAAGCCAGCGCCTTAGACCACTCGGCCAAACTGTCGATGAATGCTTTAAAAATCATAGCGGAGAAGATGCGTTACACTATAGGACATGACACAAAAACGGTTTCGAACCGTTTCCGCGGAATGCGTTCTTCATCAAATCACACGAAGAGAAATTTCTTACAGCTGTGGGATTCGAACCCACGCCCTTGCGGACTGACGCCTGAAGCCAGCGCCTTAGACCACTCGGCCAAACTGTCGATGAGTGCTTCACGATTCATAGCCGAGGTGATGCATCGCTCTGCCAAACCAGAGGACACAAAAATGGGTTGAACGGTTTCTGCGAGGTGCGATGGCGCAATATCGATCAGAAGGTTTGATCTTGCACTACCTCGCTTCTGAAAAGGTCTGGGTTCTCAATATAACACCAGTCAGGTATATAGACTGACAGCTGTGGAGTTCGAACCCACGCCCTTTCGGGCTGGCGCCTTAAGCCAGCGCCTTGGACCACTCGGCCAACCTGTCGATGAGTGCTTTAAAAATCATAGCGGAGAAGATGCGTTACACTATAGGACATGACACAAAAACGGTTTCGAACCGTTTCCGCGGAATGCGTTCTTCATCAAATCACACGAAAAGAAATTTCTAACAGCTGTGGGATTCGAACCCACGCCC